CCCACAGTTCCCCCACTGTGCTGTGGAACACGAAAACCTATGATTTCTAGCTATGTTTTGGTACTCTCCTCCCACAACCCTCCCTGAGAATTGCCTGCGGGATTCTTCAAGACTGAAGGATACCAAACAGGTGCAGCATTGGTGCTGAACTGAAATTTGCTGTGTAGAACATGATTGGGACAGTTGTTGAAATTTAAGTGGGGTCTCCAGATACGGTAGGAGGAACATGTCAATATTAATTTCTTGATTTTGATGTTATATTGTTATGTAGGATAATGTACTGGTTTGCAGAAAATATGCAATAAAATAGTCTACATAGAAGAGACAACTTGCAGATGAATCAGGAAAAATAATTGAAATATACTTAAATCTTCTCTGTAAGGTTTGACATTCAGAATTTCAATTAGCTACTTAAAGGAAAAGCAATAAGATAACGTATTTCCTCCATGTATCTGCACATAGATTTGTGCCTTTGGCATAAACACCTACAAGTGGAGTTGCTAGGCTATGGAGTAGAAAATATTCTCTTTCTGAGCCGGCGCCGTGGCTCAATAGGCTAATCCTCCACCTTGCGGCGCCGGCACACCGGGTTCTAGTCCCGGTCAGGGCGCCGGATTCTGTCCCGGTTGCCCCTCTTCCAGGCCAGCTCTCTGCTATGGCCAGGGAGTGCAGTGGAGGATGGCCCAGGTGCTTGGGCCCTGCACCCCATGGGAGACCAGGAAAAGCACCTGGCTCCTGGCTCCTGCCAGGATCAGCGCGGTGCGCCGGGTGCAGCGGCGGCCATTGGAGGGTGAACCAACGGCAAAGGAAGACCTTTCTCTCTGTCTCTCTCTCACTGTCCACTCTGCCTGTCAAAAAAAAAAAAAAAAAAAAAAAAAAAAAAAAAAAAAAAGAAAATATTCTCTTTCTCCTTTTTTTTTTTTTTTTATTCTAAAATTGTGGTACCAGTTTATGCTCTTAACAATGGGTGACTGTTCTCTTGCTACATATCCTTGCTAACATTTGCTATTGCCAGGTTTTAAGCCTTATTTTCTGGTAGGTATCTAGGACATTTTGTTGTCAATTTGCTTTCTTTTATTCTATGAGCACTTTTATGTATTTGTTGTTCATGTCTTTCTTAATCTCATTTTTATACTCTTTTCATTTTCTCTCTTTTTTAAACATTTTATTTATTTGTGAGGTAGAGTTATACAGAGAGAGAGGGAGAGACAGAGAGAAAGGTATTCTATCCGCTGATTCACTTCCCAAATGGCCACCACGGCCAGAGCTGGGCTGATCCAAAGCCAGGAGCCAGGAGCGTCTTCCAAGTCTCCCACACGGATGTAGGGGCCCAAGCCCGTGGGCTGTCTTTCTGCTGTTTTCCCAGGCCATAGCAGAGAGTTGGATCAGAAGTGGAGTAGCCGGGACATGAACCAGCACCCATATGGGATGCTGGCACCACAGGGGGGTCTTAGCCTACTACGCCACAGCACTGCCCCCTGTCCATTTTCTACTTCATTTTATTTTTCTATTACATGTCATTTTCTTATTGATTCATAAGAGTTCTTTGCATAATTTGGAATTGAGACCATTGGTCTTTTTTTTTTTTTTTTAATTTTATTTTTATTTGAAAGAGAGAGAAGGAGAAGCAGAGAGAGAGAGAGAGAAAGGTCTTCCATCCCCTGGTTCACTCCCCAGTTGGCCACAACGGCCGGAGCGAAGCCAGGAGCCAGTAGCTTCTTCTGGGTCTCCCACATGGGTGTAGGGGCCCAAGGGCGTGGGCCATCTTCTACTGCTTTCCCAGGCCACAGCAGAGAGCTGGATCAGAAGAAGAGCAGCTGGGACTCGAATTGGCGCCCATACAGGATGCTGGCACTGCAGGCGGAGGCTTTACCTGCTACACCACAGCGCCGGCCCCAAGGAATCCTTAATCTCAATGAAGTCAAATTTAACAATCTTTTATAAATAGTGCGTGATTATGTGTGGTTTTTTTGGTTTGGTTTGGTTTGGTTTTGACAGGCAGAGTGGACAGTGAGAGAGAGAGACACAGAGAGGAAGGTCTTCCTTTGCCGTTGCTTTACCCCCCAACGGCCGCTCCGGCGGCATGCTGCGGCCGGCACACCGCACCAATCTGAAGCAGGAGCCAGGTCCTTCTCCTGGTCTCCCATGTGGTGCAGGGCCCAAGGACTTGGGCCATCCTGCACTGCACTCCCAGGCCACAGCAGAGAGCTGGACTGGAAGAGGAGCAACCGAGACAGAATCCAGCGCCCTGACTGGGACTAGAATCTGGTGTGCCGGCCCCGCAGGTGGAAGATTAGCCTAGTGAGCTGTGGCACCAGCCTTATGTTGTTGTTGTTGTTGTTGTTGTTTTTTTAAAGAATCCTTAACTCAAATATCTGTCATTTTAAAATAATTTTTATTGGGGCTGGCACCGTGGCTCACTTGGTTAATCCTCTTCTTGCAGCGCCGGCATCCCATATGGACACCGGGTTCTAGTCCCAGTTGCTCCTCTTCCAGTCCAGCTCTCTGCTATGGCCTGGGATAGCAGTGGAGGATGGCCCAAGTACTTGGGCCCTGCATCTGTGTGGGAGACCAGGAGAAGTACCTGGCTCCTGGCTTCAGATTGGTGTAGCTCCAGCCGTAGTGGCCATTTGGGTTGTGAACCAATGGAAGAAAGACCTTTCTCTCTGTCTCTCTCACTGTTTAACTCTGTCAAATAAAAAATATATATATGTATAATTTTTATTTATTTTCATTTTTATTTGAAAGGCAGAGAGATCTTCTATCCATTGGTTCACTTGCCCAGAAGAAGCTCCTGGCTCCCAGCTTCAGTCTGCCCAGCTCAGGCTGTTGTGGCCATCTGGGGAGTGAACTAGCCAATAGAAGACCTCTCTCTCTCTCTCTCTCTCTCTCTCTCTGTAACTTTGCCTTTCGAATAAATAAATACATCTTTAAAAAATTCAAGTAATTAAATATTTGTGTATATATATATTGTATGTATGTTTCTGGACTTTCTAGTCTGTTCTGTTAGATTATTTGCATACCCTCACTCACATATTCTTATTATAGCTTTCTATTTTTATTTCTTATTATAGCTTTTTTCTTTTAATGCAAATCTTCCCTGCTTGTTCTTTGATCAGAGTATTTTGACTGTTCCTGACCTTTAAATTTTAGAATAACATGCTTTTTAGAATAAACTATTAAGTCTCACACTCAAAAAAGCACGCTGAGATTTTGACTGACACTGCTTTGAGTCTGGATCTGTTTGTGGAGAACTGACATTTTTACAACTTTGGGTCTGCTGATCCATGAATTACCATATCCCTTTCTTGTGTTACTTATTTAGGTGTTTAGTTTCTCTGTGTAGTAGTTTTTTTGCATATCAATTTTTCACACCTTTACTTATTTTTAGATATTTTACTTTAAACATGTAAAATATTCAGATATTTTAAATATCACCTTTTAATGTTTTCATATTTAACTGTTGTTGTTCTGTAGAACATCAGCTGATTCTATGTAGTGATCCAGGGTAGGGTTCTGTAAACCATGGGCCACTGCATCCTGCCTGCCGTCTGTTTTCGTATACTTGTAAACTAAGCCTGCTATTTAAATATGTACATATATGTACATAGGGTCTGTTAGTCTACTTTTTGTCACTTTAACTAAAAGGCCTAAATGGAGCTTCTTGGAAAAGAAAAGATTTATTTCAGCTTACAGCTTGGAGGACGCAGTTCAGGGTTGGGCAGCCCCATTCACTGGAATGGAAGCTGTTTATGGTAGGTGTGGAGGAGCTGTCATGTGGTGACCCAGGAAGCAGAGAGAGAAAGCTAGGCAGAACTTGAACTCAAATAATCAACCCTTTCATGAGAACCACCCTCTGAGGGCACACCCACAGCGACCCAAAGACTTCCCACCGAACCTACCTCTCAGATGCCACAAGTAGATTAGGTCTCCACCTTTAATCCATCAGCCATTACATTAAGACAGCAGAGTTTAAATGTCTTGCGTGAGTTTTGGGGGAGGCAAGTCCTACTCAACTTATAACAATGGAAAATACTAACTTTGAACCCCAGTTGAGTTGTTATCCTCCAAAAATAAATTCCATTCTTCTCATTAGCTGACTTCTATTATATAAAATTATATTTTAATTTTTGTCAAAATATTTATGGAAATCTATTTTTTCCGTTAGATAACCTCCTGTGTAATATCTATAATTTTTTGTCTTGTTCAGCAAAGCCTAAAATACTTACTATCTGAGTGTTTAAGAAAAAAAGTTGTCCACCTCTGATATAAAACCTTGCTAACCCTGCTTATCAAGGTTGCTTATTCAATAATTCTAATTGTTTCAAAATAGTTTCTCTGTCAGTATTTTTGGACTTGCCCTGTATATAATAGATCATCAGTAAGGAACGACAGTTTGATTTCTGCCCTTCCAGTTCTTTCACCTGTTTTTCTTCCCTTGTTATATCATAATCCAGCTCAGTCTCCCAGATGGCCAGAGCTGGGCTCCAGTCTCTGTAAGGTTTGGTTTACTGTGAGAGTGTATCCCTTCTAAACTTTTAACTCTGGACACACATTCGTCCCCCTGCTTCTGAGACATGATGCTTGCCCCCATGACAAGAGCTGAGTTAACTCTAGGTTTGTATCTTCTTCCATATCTTGACTTGATTATTCTTTCCCTCCTTGTTAATTCTCTGATCCTCCAAGCAGACTGTTAAAAATATTTTGACTGTCTTTTCTTGTTCTAAGCTAGGGAGTTAGTCTGCATTTCTGAGTCTATCAATACTGGAATGGAATTGAGGAGCCAAGATTGGAGCTCAGTTCTGTCTTAGCTTTAAGATCCATGCTTTTAACTACTTATTGTACTGCTTTGTCTTAAATCTACAATAAACAATATAAAATATAAAGGTATTTTAAATAAAATAAACATCATTTTACACTTTGTGTTGTTGAAACTTTTCAGGGCAGAAAATGTCACAAGGCAGAATTTTAAGTTGTGTGTTCTATGTTTTGCCCTGTAGTGAAGCGAATAAGCAACATGTAAGATGTCAGAAATGCTTGGAATTTGGACATTGGACTTATGAATGCACAGGAAAAAGAAAATACCTACATAGGCCTTCAAGAACAGCAGAACTAAAGAAAGCTTTAAAAGAAAAAGAAAACAGATTATTATTACAACAAAGGTAGGTTATAAATACTAGCTTATTTAAGCTTCACATCAATACTGTTCAGGTAGGTACTATTATTATCCTTATCTTACATTTTAGCACACTGAGGCGTAGGGAGGTGCAGTAACTTGCTCCCTGTTACACAGCTAGTAAGTTGGTTTACTGCCCAAATGGCCACAATGGCCAAAGATGGCCGATGTGAAGTCGGGAGCCAGGAGCTTCTTCTGGATCTCCCACATGGATGCAGGGGCCCAAGGACTTGGACCATCTTCCACTACTTTCCCAGGCCATAGAAGGGACTTGAACTTACGCCTATATGGGATGCTGGCACTGTAGGCAGTGGCTTTATCTGCTACACCACAGCGCCTGCCCCGTAATAGATTTTATGTGTAGATATAGGAGGCAATACAATATACGTTAAGTATACAAATAAGATAGAGAATAATATGTACAAGGGGCTTTCAAAGAGTTTGTGGAAAGAACAGGTGTTTAGCCTAGGAGTCAAGATGCTTATGTCCTGCATTGGAGGCCCTGGGTTTGTGTCCCAGTTCAAAGAGAATAAAGGACAATGTAGAAGTACCAGCTATTAGAGATAACTTGTTTACTTGAAGGAAATGAAGGTAGGTATGAACTGATTGTGGTATTTAGTTTCCATTGGATACATTTATAAAAATGGTATAATTTTTATGTGAAAAGTACTGAACACTTCATTTTATTTTTTTCATAACAAATGTTTCCATGAACTTTATTATTTATTTTAAAAATATTAATATACATAGCGTATGTCCCTGGCAAATACTAAAAGTTAGAAGTTTTGAAAAATGGGAGTTTCCTAAAGTTATTTTTGAGAATATAAGCAAAAAATATTTGAAGACCACTGTGATAAAGAATAAGATTTATGAAAACTTTCTTTCTAACATTTGCTTTTGGTTTTCTAGTTGTATCACAAAAGTACTTTGATCCTAAAAATACATGGAATTGTATGAATATTAAATCTGGCTTCTTAAGTAATGGCTGCTGATTTTGGGGTCAATAATAAAACAATGGGTATGTGTTAATTTCATGTATGTATGAGTTCTTGTATGATTTAATAAAAATATTTCTACTTATTCAGAAAAATGATAATTCAGTATTTCTGTTACATAAAACAACTTTAAAGCAGACTTGTGTTTGAAGACTAGGGAAATAAAGATAGAAAAGTTATGAAAGAAATTTAGAGAAGTCCACAATGCAGAGATGACCAATGTGCAGGACAGTGCTATAGTGATAGAAGCCAACCTATAATTTATACACCGACTTAGTATGCATATTGTTCGGCAGAAATACAGCAGCAAGCCATTTAGACATTTCATTCAAATTCATCATGCTTCGTACTTTATAAGTAATGTGAGAGAACATAGCCTTACAGTATTAAGTTTCTGGTACTTAAACATTAAAAATCTGAACATTGAGGGGAATGTGCAGAAAAAGAAATAGTGATTTTAAGTTAAAAGTTTGCTTTTTAAAAATATGAAGTGGCTGTTTTTAATATGACTCTGGGCATTCAAATTCATGCTGCTGTTATGCAGTATTTGATTGTTCAGTAAATAGCTGATTTAGTTACAGCAACCTAAGTTCCCAACTAAGAAGTCAGCTTAACTGCTGGCTTACCTTTCAAGGTACAGCTGATAAAAATACAGCTGGCTTTATTGCTGGCTACGTCGACTGCATGTACAGTCTCCAAAAGGAAACTCCACTTGGAGATAGCAAGCTGACTGTTCTCTGAGTAAATTTTATGAAAGGCACAGTGTGTCTCCACCTTAAGCGGTGTGGGCAGTAGCAGAAAGGGTTGTCTGAGCTGTATGTAATCACTCTACTAACAGGACCTTTTTCCCTCCCTCATGTTTATCAGCATTGGAGAAACCAATGTAGAAAGAAAGACCAAGAAAAAAAGGTATGTTTGGCCCTAGGAGTATTATGTGGATATAAAATGTAAATATAGTTGGAGGGATGGAAAGGGTCATGGGGAAACAGTGAACTGTAAGATTTAGATCTGCAGTCGCTTGTGTGCAGTTGGTAATTAAGGATCCTCCTGCTTCCTTCTCTGTTCTCTTCTCACCCCTGGAATTGCTTGCCTCCATTTCTCCTTTTTCTCTAACTTTCGACAGTCTTTACACCTGGAAATAGTAATTAATGATCCTCTCTTGTCTTAAAATAGGAGATGTTATTAGATTATTAAGGAATTGTTGGCAGCCATGTCTGTTCTAACATAGTTAAAACACAAATCATTGGCCGGCACCATGGCTCACTAGGCTAATCCTCCGCCTTGCGGCGCCAGCATACCGGGTTCTAGTCCCTGTCGGGGCGCCGGATTCTGTCCCGGTTGCCCCTCTTCCAGGCCAGCTCTCTGCTGTGGCCAGGGAGTGCAGTGGAGGATGGCCCAAGTCCTTGGGCCCTGCACCCCATGGGAGACCAGGAGAAGCACCTGGCTCCTGCCATCGGATCAGCGCGGTGCACCGGCCACAGTGCACCGGCCACAGTGGCCATTGGAGGGTGAACCAACGGCAAAAGGAAGACCTTTCTCTCTGTCTCTCTCTCTCACTGTCCACTCTGCCTGTCAAAAAACAAAACAAAACAAAAAACCACACAAATCATTTTAAAACATTTACAACTCTCCATGAGGTTTAAATAGACCTGTTGATGGATCACAGCTTTCCTCTAACAGTGTTCACTCAGAACATAAATTACTAAATATTGATCCTCTTGAACCCCATCATAGAGAGTCAGCTGCTGAACATCTGTCAGGGGACGGGTGTGCTTTATAACAGTGGGCTCCCCCAAGGCCTCACGTCCAGGGAGGACGCCAGCAGACCTCGCTGTCGTCTGAAACGGCTTTCAGGTCTTCTGTTAAACGTCAGCTTTGCATGCCTGTAACCGCTGGTTGTCTGATAGGGCTAAGAGCGTAACCAGTTCCAGTAGCAGCAGCAGTGACAGTTCAGCCAGTGACTCCTCGTCAGACAGTGAGGACACGTCTACCTCATCCTCCTCTGAGGACAGTGACACCGACGACAGCTCCTCCAGTTCCTCCTCCTCAGCCTCCTCCACAAGCTCTTCGTCCTCTTCCTCCTCCGACTCCGACTCCAGCTCTTCCAGCAGCAGCAGCACCAGCACAGAGAGCAGCTCTGAGGATGAGCCACCAAAGAAGAAGAAAAGGAAATAGAGTGGCCGCAGCCGGGGGACTGATGCCCCGAGACGCGGCAAGGTTCTGCGAGGGGCTCCCAGGGCGGCCCGGCCGGCTCAGCGAACAGGTCACGAGGCACAGAGTTCAAGTTTCCAAACGTTTTGTGTTGTCAGAGCATAAAGAGTGTTAATAATGGATTATAGAGAGAGACTTTTTTATGTTAAGGGGGAATCTTGTTTTTCTTTTTTATCTTAAGTATGTATCTCTAGAACTTAATCAAAGCTGAAATCCAGTAAATCTGCTTTTGTGATTAAATTTATGTTTTTCCTCCCTGTGAGGTAAATGCTGTCTTTTGTTATATGTTAATAGTATGTTTTCAGCATAATACATCAGAATATCTTATCAATGAATTTCTAATGTTTTTGGCGTGTGTTACTATGTAAGATTTAATACATTGTTACGATGAGTTTAGGAATTTCTTACTGTTGATAAATGTGTCCTATTTTTATGTTTATGTTCAAAAAGTCATTCTGACTTTTTATCCTAAATGATTAGTTCAAGAAACCAATTAATATATTTAGACTTTTTGAAAGCTGTTAAGTTTGAAGTTGTGGTTTATCATTCATTCTTCTGGTTCCTAAAGTTCATAGAATTACCTCTGCCAAGGAAAATCATTGCAAAAGGACAAAAAGGGACAAGAAAATCTGAAACGACTTGAGTCTACTCTTGGTGCCTTTTTAAAAATTCAGTGTATTGGAAAAGAAAGCAACTATTCAAAAGCCTAATTTAAGTAAAAGTACCATAAACACATTTTGTGTGTTAGTATGCTTTAGGGCTCCCCTCAAAAAGGGTGAGGAAGGAGGGGAAGAAAGGTCATTTTTGCATAAAAGGAGGGCAATGTTGGCTGTCTTTTATTTTTAAAATTTTTAGACACTTGTAAAGATTGCCTTTTGCCATTTTGCAATTATGATAGTGTACATTAACTGTATGTCAATCTACTATATAAATATGAATGACTAGGACTAATCTGTGTGTTTACATAGCAAACACAAGGTGAAAGGCTGCAAAGGAGATTCTGCACGATGTTTCTTAAACAAAATACTCTTACTGTGATGTGTAATCGCTCGTAATGTGGTTTCACATCACATTATTCTGTGATAGCTTTTAAACTTTGTAGAAAGAGGTATAATTTGTAGAAAAATCTTGATTTGGGTTAAATACAAGTTTTTAAAACTATAAATGTTGTCTTTTTATATTTTTATAAAAACAGTGGAAAATGCTATTGAATAAAATGGGCTTCTTTAGAAATATTGAAGTATCTGTCAGTTGTGGGTTTAAGAAGCCTGTAATGGCACTGGCGCTGTGGCATAGTAGGCTAAGCCTCCACCTGTGGTGCTGGCATCTCATATAGGAGCCGATTCTTGTCCTGGCTGCTCCACTTCCAGTGCAGCTCTCTGCTGTGGCCTGGAAAAGCAGTAGAAGATGGCCCAAGTGCTTGGGCCCCCACATGCCTATGGGAGACCTGGAAGAAGCTCCAGACTCCTGGCTTCGGATCAGCCCAGCTCTGGCCGTTTTGCCCATTTGGGTGTGAACCAACGGATGGAAGACTTTTCTCTCTGTCTCTCCCTCTCTTTCTGTAACTCTACCTCTCAAATTAATAAATAAAATCTTTTAAAAAAAAAAAAAAAAAAAGGAAGCCTGGCCGGTGCTGCAGCTCACTAGGCTAATCCTCCACCTGTGGCGCCGGCACCCCGGGAGACCAGGAGGAAGTGCCTGGCTCCTGGCTTCGGATCGGCGCAACACACCAGCCGTGGTGGCCACTTTGGGGGTGAAGCAACGGAAAAAGGAAGACCTTTCTCTCTCTCTCTCTCACTGTCTGACTGTCTGACTCTGCCATTCAAAAAAAAAGGAAGAAGAAGAAGCCTGTAATTACCTCTAAGTTTTGTAGAACCATCTGCTTTCAGTCACTGTAAATAAACCTTTACAATATCATTTCAGTTACACATTACTGAAATACCATTTGACGGGTAAATTTAATAAATTATCACACATTTTACAATGTGCATAGCCTCTTTAAGGGAAATTTTAGCAGTAAAGATCTTGGAATAGAAGATGTGTACATTGTGAGCATCACTGGAAATGCAATAAAACTCACAGTTTGTGATCATAAGCTTAAACTTCAGCTTTTCTTTGCTATTTCATTTAATCCCAGCTCTTTCTCTTTTTGAGGACAAAAGCATTTAAGCAAATTCTTTTTCTTCTTTTAAGATTTATTTATTTGAAAGGCAGAGTGGCAGGGAGAGGGAGAGAGAGATCTTGCTGAGTGACTTCGGAAGACTCTCCATCATGTGTGAGAGGGGATGCTGGAAGTTGAGTCCCTGGCATATATACTACACATTATTTCTCAACCACAGCCATATCAAAAGGTCAATAGATGACAGGTTCTTATTCTACAAATGTTTCATTGGTATGATTGTACAATATAGTAATTTTGTCCTAGAATCAAAATATGACATTAGCCATAAATATCACTGGACACGAAAAGAGTGCTTAACTTATTTTGAAAGTGATTTTAGATTTACAGAAGAGTTGCAAAAATAGAACATTTCCTTATGTGCCTCCCCGGGCTTCCCTTAGTGAAAATCTTACACAGTGATCAGAACTTGGTAAAAACACCATTAATTAAACCAAACACCCTACTAATATTTCACCAGTTGTCCCACTAATGTTCTTTTTCTGTTCCAGAAAACTATCCAGAAAGAGCATGTAGTTACTTCCTCCATGACTCCTGAAGCCTCAACATTTCCTTAGTCTTACCTTGAGTTTCATAACCTTGTCACTTTTGAAAAATGTTGATCAGCTACTTTGTCTAATGTCCCTCAGTTTGGGTTTGTCTGGTGTGTTCTGATGGAACTGAGGTTACTCCTTCTGAAAGCATGTCGCAGAAATGAATTGTCCTCAGTCCGTTGTACCATGACATATCTGTGGTCAGTAGGTCTTACTGACTATTGATACTTGACCTTGAGTACTTGGCTAGGGTAGATTCTGTCAGATTTTTTTCCCACTGTAAGTTACTGCCTTTCCCTTTTTAGTTAGTGGGTATCTTGGGGGAGAAACTTTGAGAATGTGTAAAAGTTGTTTCTTCTCAAACTCATCCACTAGTTTGAGTGGATCAGTAGATCTTGCCTACAGGTCCTGCTGTGGTATTTTCTAAATGGTGGTTTTCTGGTTCCCTCTTCTATTTTTATTAATTGAAGTTCTGCCGTTTGGAAAAGCTGTTGCTTCTCCATTTAATTGTTGGTGGTGTTGAGTCATGGATTTTTATTTTGTTTGAAGATAAAACTCTGATACCAGCTTTTATTTTGTTGCTCATATTGTTTCACCTTTGGCTTAGGAGACCTTCAGCCTGGCTTCTGAGTTCTTTCAACAAGGCTGTATTTTTTTTTTTTTAAGTATTTATTTACTTCCTAGGATCACAAGATATTCTGGGCTCATCTTATGATCTCCCTGTCCCAGCTTTAGAACCAATTGCTTGTTCAAGGGGCTACCCTAGACCCTTTTATTGAAGAATGGTGTTTAGAATTCAAGATCTGGATCCTGTTTTCATTACTTTTTTTTTTTAACACACTTTGAATAATGGTGTTCTCAGGTAGTTAGATAAAATGGGTAGCCTTACTGTCTCTGTTGCTATCACTGAGTGCTGGAGCCTGAGTAATCTAAAGTGAACAGAAATTGATTGGCTCATACTTCCGGTGAGAGTCTGGTTACGTCATCACATCACGTGCAAGAAGGAGAAAGGAGCCACATGCAGATGTATTAATCCCGTCCATGAGCCCTCAGGGCCCAATCGCCTCTCAAATTATCACCTTTAATATTAAAATGGCAGTCAAATTGCATCAGGGGATTCGAAAGGGGCAAACATTTAAAACGTAGCCCATGCCATTGACTGGAAGAAATACAATACTCTCACCCTCAACATTTCCCACCTTAGCTTTCTTCACTGGACTTTCACAGGATTCTTCCTCGGTAGTAGTATTCTCTTTGACAAAGATGAGAGAGCCAAAGTCTTGTTTGTTTTTAACATTTATTTGTTTATTTAAAAGAGTTACACAGAGAGGGCCGGTGCCGCGGCTCACTGGGCTAATCCTCCGCCTAGAGGCGCCGGCACACTGGGTTCTAGTCCCGGTTGGGGCGCCGGATTCTGTCCCGGTTGCCCCTCTTCCAGGCCAGCTCTCTGCTGTGGCCCGGGAGTGCAGTGGAGGATGGCCCAGGTGCTTGGGCCCTGCACCCCATGGGAGACCAGGAAAAGCACCTGGCTCCTGGCTCCTGCCATCGGATCAGCGCGGTGCGCCGGCCGCAGCGCACTGGCCGCGGCGGCCATTGGAGGGTGAACCAACGGCAAAGGAAGACCTTTCTCTCTGTCTCTCTCTCTCACTGTCCACTCTGCCTGTCAAAAAAAAAAAAAAAAAGAGTTACACAGAGAGAGACATCTTCCATTCAATACTGGTTCATTCCACAGTTGGCCACAAGCCAGAGGCAGGAGCTTCATCCAGGTCTCCCACCTGGGTAACAGGAGCCCAGACATGTGGGCCATCTTCTGCTGCTTTTCCCAGGTGCATTAGCAAGGAGATGGATTGGAAATAGAGCAACCAGGACATGAACTAGTGCCCATTTGGGATGCTAGTGTCATAGGTGGAGGCTTTACCTGCTATGACACAGGGCTGGCCCCAGCCTGTTTTTTGTTTTTTGTTTTTTTAAGAGTTACACAGTAGAGGCACAGAGAGAGAGGTCTTCCATCCTCTGGTTCACTCTCCAATTTTGTCCACAATGGCTAGAGCTGCACCAATCCGAAGCCAGGAGCATGGAGCTTGTTCCAGGTCTCCCACATGGGTACAGAGGTCCAAGGACTTGGGCCATCTTCTACTGCTTTCCCAGGCCATAGCAGAGAGCTGCATCAGAAGTGGAGCAGCCGGGACTCGAACTGACACCCATATGGGATGCTGGCACTGCAGGTGGCAGCTTTACCCGCCACACCATAGTGCTGGTCCCAGCCTGAGCCTTTAATGAAAAACAATCATTACTTCCTTTCTTTTCCCACACTACACTGTATCAGAATTTAGCCATAAGCCAACTATCCCTTTTCTGACACCAGGTCATGCCTTTGACCAAATCAAACCAAATGAAAAATCAGGAAGCCAGACCTCGCATCATGGTGCCTTAATTGAAAGAAGCTGACCCAAACTACTATTTCAAATAGTTTTTTTATAAGGTTTTTCCACCCTGAGAAAATTGCATAGGAAGACTTAGATGTGTGCACCAAAAAGGGAGAGAGAGACGAAAACCACTGTGATAACTTGGTTGTAGATTCATTCTCAGTTCAGCTAGGGAACTGAGTACAGATGCAGTTGAGAATCTGGAAATTGCCAGCATTTTTGAAAAGTCCCTTGTGCACCTCCAAACGTATTTGTGTCAGCTAACAAGGTAATCAGTAATACCAATCAAATATTACTAGAACTCCTACTTGGAAGGTATTTTAAAAACACATTGATAATGCTTAAATAATGGTTTTTTTGGGATTCACTCTCTGGCTGGGGAGACCACACATCACACCAAAGAATACAGCAAAGAGGACTTTGACTTGCATGGTAGATTGCACCCTATGTTTGTTATCATTCCTCCTTGACATCTAACAAAGTTGGGAGAAAAGAAAACAAACAAAAAAGCAGAAATCGTTGAGGCGAAGAGGAGACAGGGTTCTCCAGACAAACACCCGAGAGGGCGTGTGTCTCCCACATGTGTCACATATGGATGTACACAAGGATGTGTATTAAGAAAACACTGCAGGCATGGTGCTGTTTGCTAACCAGACACCTAGAAAAGTCAGTGATGGAGCTAAGTCCAAAGACCTGGGAGCCCGGGGGCTCCTGACAGGGACTCCTGGCTCCAGACTCTGAGGTGCCGAGAACCGGGAGCTCTAACGTTGAGAGCGGAGAGGACTAGTGTTCCAGCCCTCGCTCTGCCTCCTGTTCAGGTTCTCAGTGGACAGGGGGATGCTGCCCACTTGGTAAGGGTGGACTTCCTTACTTTCTCTTCTGATCAAATGCAAATTCTCTTCCTGAAACACCCAGAAGGAAATGTGGTACCAGCTAAGTGGGCAGGCTTGATCCTAGACAAGTTGACACATGAAATTAATCCATCTTGGGAGAGGAAACACAGGAAAAATAACTACTTTGGGAGCTCAAAACGGTGCTTTCTTAAGCTGCCAAAGGAAGTTGAAGCCTCAGCCTAAGGCGGGGGAGGGGCAACAGGAAGCAAGCCGGTGTGGGCCACAGAGCTGGGGAAGCCACCTAGGCTTCTGTCAGCCATGGAGCTGGGAGGCCATGCAAACGGGACTGGAGACTTTCTGTTGAAGGCCGCGCCCCTCCATGCTCCTCCCCTGCTCCTGCTGTCTTAGTGGGTTTGGTTTTTACTATGACATTTGGCAAGTGAGCAATGGTGAACAACTACGTTCAATCTGCAGTGACCACGTGTACTCCAATAATCCCCAGCTAAACAAGAAACAGGTTGCCAGCCCTGTGCCGAAGCCCTGTGTGCAATACAGACAATAAATGTGTTTAGTTGCCGCTTGTAAATCTCCAGCCCCAGGTGGTACTCTCCCAGACACCGTGGACAAAACCAGGAGGGAAAAGGCC